TCTAGAATACGCTGAAGGCATGATGATAGCTTTTTAAAAACAGTTTAGTGTGTGTATGCTGCTACAGTTATATGGGTCTTATATCTCCTCACATATGAATTTAGGCACATCTTGCAATTCAAATGTTCCAAATAAATAAAAATTGACCAGATTTTGTCCTAATTCACTGGATATTGCTGGTTCCTTTGAAAAGGAAAAAAATCTGAGTTCATTTGCATAATTTGTTCTTAAGAACTATATTCTGACTACCAGTAATAAACCTAATATCTTGAAAAGAAAATTTATTTTAAAATCTCTTCATTATTTATTCTAACCACTTCCATGAAAAATGAATTTTCTCAGTAAATTCTCTCAGCAAGTATTTAATAATGATAGCATCTGTCTCTTGACCATACATAAACCACTTGCTAGTATGTACTGAATGCATAAAGCATTCTGTTTGCTATTTTCTTAATAAATTGTCTTGTGTATGAAGTTTGTAAAATTGCTTTGTTTTGGAAATAAATGTGTACTGTGCTAAAATATACTCATATTTTTGATAATTAATTACACTTCCTAGGTCATATATATAGTGCAAATCTGGCTTGTCTGACAGAAGGTTAGAACCCTCTCCTTGACACAGTATCTTTGTATGGATTTTCGTACTTGCATTTTGACATGCTTCCGTTCACTAACTGCTCTAAGAAATATTGTAATATTACTGGACTACTGTGTATGACCACAGTAGTGGTCATATTCTTATATGACTAAGAAGCTATGTCTGTACAAAGACACATAGACCATTCAAACCAAGCGGACTACTCTTACCAAGAATAAAATCAAGGTCAGACAAACAGCAGTAGCTGTCTACAGTAGCCTCTCATGGTATTTATTTAGTTAACTAAATGATGCCTTTCTCCTTCTATTCAAGGCACGTAGTATCTTATACCTACCAGAGAAGTCGGACAGTCTTTGGAAACTTAAATGTGGTGACTGGAACTGTGAACAGGCAAGACAGATCTTTCTACAAACCTGAAAAGGGCCCCAGGATTGCAGAAAAAGGTGAAATCTTAAAAAAAAAAAAAACACTGAGTTTTAAAAAACCCAAATGATAATAAGAGTGCCTGTAGCTTTAAAAAACAGATTCCCTCAGTGGCTGTTGCTAGGCAACCACAGTATTCCAGGCTGGGTTTTTGTGAGTAAAAAGGTAAGGGGGGGGGGGGCAAGGCCTTTTCCAGGCCTATTTTGGCTGTTGAGGGAGGATCCATTGGGGCCAACTAGGGTTGCCAGCACCACATTGGGAAATTCCTGAAGATTTTGTGATGCCGGAGGGCAGGTTTGGGGAGGGGAGAGGCCTCAGCATGGTATAATGCCACAGAGTCCACCCTCCAAAGCAGCTATTTTCTCCAAGGTAACGGAGCTCTGATGTCTGGAGTTCAGTTGCAATTCTGTGGGGTCTCCAGGTCCCACCTGGACACTGACAGCCCCACAACTTGATACCACCTGACTTGCATGACTCAACAGAAACCATCAGATGAAAGCCAGTATGGTATAGTGGTTAGAGTTTCAGAGTAATGTCTGGGAGACCCAGGTTCAGATACCAATCCTGCTCGATGTTGGAGCTTGACCAGTGGAGCCCAAACTGGCCACGCGGTCTGAAGCTGAGTATATGACACCAACCGACAGCATTTCCGTCTTGTCTCTGTATCACGGAAGCACCTCTAAGTAAGACTACTTGGGAATAAGTCCTATTTGCAACTATAACTAGGCTAACAGGGGTCTTGTGCGTATAAGGAAGCCTATTCTAAGTGGGAACAAGCTTTACTGAATCAATAGAAAAGAGTAAGACTCCAATAGCACCTTAAAGACAGACTAACAGGGCTACCCATCCTGATCCATTATTGAACCGAGAGAGAGAGCCTGGCTTGCCCCCACCCCGCTTTGAACTACTGAAAAGTCATGCGGCCGAGGGACACAACGTCACTCACCAGCCCGCCGAGAAACGGGAACACCCCCGGGGCGACTCCAGAGCGCCGCCTCCCCCTACGGCGTCCCAGTGCCCTCCTCCGCGCCGTTACGCAAAAAGGGGCGGGGCCTGCCTACCGTATAAGAGCGCGCACGAGGCGCGGGCCTCTCTCTTTTCTGATGTAGCTGGCGGGGGAGGTAGGAGTTCTATTCGTAAGTAATCGCCGTTTGGCTTCTGTGCGCTATTGTTTGTTGAAGGAGGAGTAGCTGTGTGTGTCGGGGTGGGTGCGAGAAAGGCGAGGATCGGTTTATCGAGGAAAAACGCTTTATTTTGGAAGGCGCAATAAGAAGTCTTGGTGGAAGGCCAGTCTCGTTATCGTCATTTCCAACGGGGAGGCGCTGAGCGTAGCTGTGGCGCATGCGTGTCTTCCGTAGTGTTGAGAGGGAGGGGAGCAAACCCTGATAGGAAGAGATCGAAGACGGTAACCTGCTATGGCGCGGTGTTAAGACTCCTCTCCCCCCCCCGCCCTGAGAGC